TAACTGAGTTAAGATTAAAAAAGGATGTGTACAAAAAATGGAAAAGGGGGGAAACCACCAAAGAGGAATTCAAACAAATAGCCAGCACGTGTAGACACAAAGTCAGAAAAGCTAAAGCACAGAATGAACTCAGGCTTGCTAGAGAGGTTAAAAGCAACAAAAAAAGCTTTTATGGGTATGTTCATAGCAAAAGGAAGAACAGTCTTCTCCGATAAAGAAAACAATGCCTGACCTGAAGAATTTGGAGCAAATGATTCAGCAGAGGAAACACAGCCCAGAATAACTAAGGAGATAGTACAAGAATACTTGGCTAGTCTAGATGTATTCAAGTCTCCAGGGCCAGATGAGCTGCATCCAAGAGTATTAAAAGAACTGGCAGATGTGATTTCAGAACCACTGGCAGTCATCTTTGAGAATTCCTGGAGAACAGGCGAAGTCCCGGCAGACTGGAGGAGAGCAAATGTACCTATTTTCAAAAAGGGGAAAAGAGAGGACCCAAATAATTACCGCCCAGTCAGTCTGACATCAATACCAGGGAAGATTCTGGAGCAGATCATTAAGCAAACAGTCTGTGAGCACCTAGAAAGGAATGCTGAGATCACCAATAGTCAGCATGGATTTCTGAAAAATAAGTCATGTCAGACTAACCTGATCTCGTTTTTTGACAGAATTACAACCCTGGTAGATGAAGGGAACGCAGTGGATGTAGCCTACCTTGATTTCAGCAAGGCATTTGACAAGGTGCCCCATGATATTCTTGTAAAGAAGCTGGTAAAATGCGGACTTGACTATGCTACCACTCAGTGGATTTGTAACTGGCTGACTGACCGAACCCAAAGGGTGCTCATCAATGGTTCCTCTTCATCCTGGAGAAGAGTGACTAGTGGGGTGCCACAGGGTTCTGTCTTGGGCCCGGTCTTATTCAACATCTTTATCAACGACTTGGATGATGGACTCAAGGGCATCCTGATCAAATTTGCAGATGACACCAAACTGGGAGGGGTGGCTAACACCCCAGAGGACAGGATCACACTTCAAAACGACCTTGACAGATTAGAGAACTGGGCCAAAACAAACAAGATGAACTTTAACAGGGAGAAATGTAAAGTATTGCACTTGGGCAAAAAATAATAATGAGAGGCACAAATACAAGATGGGGGACACCTGGCTTGAGAGCAGTACATGTGAAAAGGATCTAGGAGTCTTGGTTGACCACAAACTTGACATGAGCCAACAGTGTGACGCGGCAGCTAAAAAAGCCAATGCAATTCTGGGCTGCATCAATAGGAGTATAGCATCTAGATCAAGGGAAGTAATAGTGCCACTGTATTCTGCTCTGGTCAGACCTCACCTGGAGTACTGTGTCCAGTTCTGGGCACCACAGTTTAAGGAGGACACTGACAAACTGGAACGTGCCCAGAGGAGGGCAACCAAAATGGTCAAAGGCCTGGAAACGATGCCTTATGAGGAACGGCTAAGGGAGCTGGGCATGTTTAGCCTGGAGAAGAGGAGGTTAAGGGGTGATATGATAGCCATGTTCAAATATATAAAAGGATGTCACATAGAGGAGGGAGAAAGGTTGTTTTCTGCTGCTCCAGAGAAGCGGACACGGAGCAATGGATCCAAACTACAAGAAAGAAGATTCCACCTAAACATTAGGAAGAACTTCCTGACAGTAAGAGCTGTTCGACAGTGGAATTTGCTGCCAAGGAGTGTGGTGGAGTCTCCTTCTTTGGAGGTCTTTAAGCAGAGGCTTGACAACCATATGTCAGGAGTGCTCTGATGGTGTTTCCTGCTTGGCAGGGGGTTGGACTCGATGGCCCTTGTGGTCTCTTCCAACTCTATGATTCTATGATTCTATGATTCTTCATGTCCTTCAACACTGGAGGCATCTTTGTCACTAATGTCAGGAAGTTCTCCGAAGATAGGCACTGGAATTTCATCATAATGAGCTACAGGACGACATGCTGATTGAAGATCAGGATACTTCGTGGGGCGGCTGCCCCATTAACTTAGTTTTGATCCCCCAACTTTATGCTTTGCTGGACCAATTTATGGAAGATTTCGAGGTTTTATGACTTCAAACTGATCCCTTTTCGACATAATCACCCAGAACTATCGGACCTGAATACTTCTTGTCATTAAAATAATCATTTCCAATCAAAACAATTATTTGACAAGGCATTTTACCCCCACCAACTTCTTCTAAAATGCTCCACACAAGCGTACATGTGAACAAAAACATAAAAAAAGACATGTGGCCATAGCTCAAAAACTTGACCTGATTGAGCAAAACCAATGTGATTTTTGGATTCAGCGCATCAGATTCATCCTAAATCAGCTGAAAAAAATGCAGACAACAAATTTGTTGTTGACCAATGTAATCAATGTACTATACTATAAAATAAGTATTGTACATGATAAAAATTAAAATTATTTTTTTTCTTACCTGCACTGATGATAGTCAGTGTTTGGATGGGGGGCTGTTATCCATTACTGCAGTCACACAATCAATCAATCTATATATAATAAAATGAAGAACAAGCCACAGTCACAAAAACGAAAAAGCCACACAAACAAAAATGCAAAAAATAGCAAAAACAAAAGCACCAAATATAAGCTCCAAATATCACCTCAGAACACTGCAATTGGAAAGGGAAGGCTTTGATTACAATGGGGGGTGCAAATTAGCAGTGCAACAGTGAAAATGGGAAGAAAAAGGCTTTGATTGCAATGGGGCAATGCAAATTAGCAGCTCAACAGTGAAAACGGAAGTTCAGGAGCATGTTCGGCTTCCGAAGCAAAGTTCGCAAACCAGAACACTGACTTTTGTAAGAACACTTGAATGATAGGCAGCGTTCAAGTTCCAAGTTGTTCAGGAACTAAGCTGTTCAAAAACCGAGGTACCACTGTATTTCTTTCCAAGTGTTTATGTAATTGTCTTTAAATATATTAATGTTTTTAGCTGTCAGTCATACCCCCCAGATATTTAATGTGTAAGTCTGTAAGTTTCTGGAAACTTTATAAATGGGAAAACTTTTTGCCTCCCTAATTGACAAAGCTGGCCCACCTATGAGGCATGGGGAAGCACCCGCCTCAGGCAGTGGAAATGCAAGAGGTGGTTCTCCACCTGCCCCACTGCTTCTCCTGCTCCCAAAATGTCTCCCTCTCACTGGTGAGAGGGGATGTTCCAGCAGGAGGGGCCACCACTCGGCTTACCTGTCCGCAGGCCGAGAAACACATCAGCAATGCTTTGCAAATGCCAGGTGTTATAAATGCCGGCGTGGTTGCTCGAGAGCAAACAGGCAAGACTTCCTGTTGGTGTCTTTCCAAGGCTTTATTATCTGTCCAAAATGTTCACAATGCAGATTGACTCTTTTCCATGTCTGCTTAGTCACTAGCAGAATCTGGGAGTGGGCGGTCCTTAAACTTTCCCCAGCAGAGCAGTTTTTTTACCCCCATCCTACGCTTCCCCTCTCTGCGCAGAGAGGGCATGGGCAAGGGGGGACCTGCCTCCCCCCCCCCCCGCTTTGCTCAGGTTCAGTGTTGCGGCTCTCCCTTGCATCTTCCGAGCCCTGCATCCCTTTCCCCACTGGAGGCATGGCTTCGCTCCTCCTCGGAGGACAAGCTGCTTCTCACAATCTTTGGCGGCTCCCTGTAACCCAACTGCCCTTCCATCTCCCACCTCTGAGCTGATGGCAGTTCCCTGACACCAAGGCTCCTGCGGTGGAAGGGAAGGGATGGGGTGGGGAGGGGAGGGGGAAGGAGGGAGAAATTCCCATTTTGCTTCAAGTGGTGAAATGGGCCACTCCTGCCTGTTGGAATTAGCAGACGCAAGTTACTTGTAGAATCCTAGAATTGTAGATTTGGAACAGACCTCAAGAATCATCTAGTCCAACCCCCTGCAATGCAGGAATCTCAACTAAAACAGCCGTGACAAAGGACCATCCAACTTCTGCTTAAAAACCTCCAAGGAAGGAGAGTCCACCCAAAGGAGACTGTTCCACAGTTGAACAGCTCTTACTGTCAAAAAGTTTTTTCTGATGTTTAGTCTGAATCTCCTTTCTTAGAACTTGAATCCATTGGTTCAGGTCCTACCCTCCAGAGCAGGAGAAAACAAGCTTGCTCCAGCTTCCCTTGAGATATTTGAAGATGGCTATCAGGAATTTGAAGAGGGTTGTTAGCAGCTGAACAATAATAATAGTAATAATAGTAATAATTTATTGATGATGATAATGATAATGATAACAATGATAATGATAATAATACAGTGGTGCCCCGCAAGACGAATGCCTCGCAAGACGAAAAACTCGCTAGACGAAAGGGTTTTCCGTTTTTTGAGTCGTTCCGCAAGACGAATTTCCCTATGGGCTTGCTTCGCAAGACGAAAGTCTTGCGAGTTCTTGCGAGTTTGTTTCCTTTTTCTTAAAGCCGCTAAGCCGCTAATAGCCACTAAGCCGCTAATAGCCGTGCTTCGCAAGACGAAAAAAACCGCAAGACGAAGAGACTCGCGGAACGGATTAATTTCGTCTTGCGAGGCACCACTGTATATGAAAGCATGGCCTCCTTTGGCTTGCAGGGGCTCTCCAGAGTCTGTGGCAAAGAAAGTTCTTCTCCATTACCAGCCACCTGCTCTTATTTTAATAGAGATGCGAAGGAATAAATCTGAAGCTCTCTGCGTGCAAAACATGTGTTTCGGTCACTGAGCAACAATTTCTCCCCACGGGTTAATTTAGACCCTAATGAGGGAAAGATGCACTGCTTCTACGAACGCAGCAGCCCTTGCCCGCCTGCGTTTTCCAGCATCTGGGATTCAGAAGCATTGCTGCCTCTGAAGGCAGAGCAGAGCCACTGTGGCTGGAAGCCATCGACAGCCATCCAAGTTGGTGGCCATCGCTGCCTCCTGTCTGTGAGAGTTCTACAGTTTAACTATGCACTGTGTGAAGAAGGCCTTGTTCCACCAGCAGATATGAAATAGTGTTTCTCCCCCAACTTTCCAGGTGGAAGTCTGGATGACTTGGAAGACAGAAGAAGCCTTAACTTGCTCACGCCCCTCTCCCCTGCTGCTGCTGCTGCTGCTGCTGCTTCCCGCCCTGACTGCTGTGTGCGCAGTGCCTTTCCATCTGGTGTGAAGAATGTCCATGGTGGGCCTGATGCGGAAGGATGTCCAACTCCTCAGGATCCATTCCGCCCCTCTGCAGCTGTGGCTGTTATGGTCTCCTAGTTGTGCTGCAGAGCTGCCCCCCCACTCCAGCTGCCGGGGGGGGGGCGGTGCTGTGCCTGACACACTGGCCTTCTGGCTGGGGAATTGGGCATACCAACCTGCTCTTTGTTGGCTTATGAACAAAGAGAGGATGTTGTAGCGGATGAACTTATAGGCTGGTCTCTTGCAAAAAGACTTGTTGCTGTCTGAGGATGGGAAATGGAAAGAGGAAGAAACAGATTATGTTTACTGCCATATTGAAAGAGGAAACTTGACTGATTATTTTTAAAGAAAATTTTGATTGGCTGGTATTAACTTTGTGGATCATCTGTTCCGCCAAGACAATGTGATATATACTCTTTCTTTTTTAGGATCAAAGGAGATTTTATTGTTTAAGTGAGATTTTATGTGTGTGTGTTTTGTCAGCACACAGAGTAATGAGCATCCCATTTCTAGAGGGATAAAGCAATAACATCAGACAGTCCTCATTAAAATAGTTGTAAATAATCTGAGGGGTGGTTCCCCACCCCTCACTATTTACTGAAAAAAGAAGGGAAGTCTCACCTTGCCAGTATCAGGGCTGCGTAGGAACCCTGCTGGGTTCTCTTGCTGGAAGTTTAAGTTTTTTCTTTCTGTAAATAAAGGGGTAAATAAATAGTTTATATTCCTCTGATTATTTCAAAAGTTCAGTTGCAGAAGTGTGTACCTATTTTTCCACAAATGTTAAACTTGGATGATATCAGTGAAGGAGCTTAGGGTCCCTGCCTGTGGTCTCCAAGCGTTCTTGAAGACAGACTCTAAGAAGCCTTTTTACCTTGTCACAATCTGTCAAAAGAAATCCAGGGTCGGTCATTCTTGTGAATGTATGGGGGGGCAGGTGAATTATGACCCTGCAAAGCACCTTCCTTCCTCTTTGGTCTTTTCCATTGCTGAGTCTCTGCTTTTGCCATCTAGGAAGCCTCTTTACCTGAACAAGTTCCCATGAAGGATCTGCAAGATTCTTTCTTCCATAGTGAGGTTTCTCTGTTGTTGTTTCCTTACCCAAAGCCCCCATGTTTGGGATTCCTTCTTTGGATGTTAAGAAAATAGCATTACCCCTAAGTGCTCTTCCCAGAAATGTTCTATTTTCAGAAAATTAAAGTTTATATTGTCACAGAATTAGACAGATTTCTATTGCACTGCACAGATGTCCTCCATGGACATGCACACACGGTCTGTGGTGGGCAGAAGATTTCACTGCTGAGCAGTGTCTCACAAGTTCACAGCCCTGTTGGGAGTACAAAAATGCATCTGCACTGGCCCTTAGGAATGGGAAGGGGACGTGTCCCACTGATCTAGGCCTAACCCTGAAGATGAGCATCCCCAATTTGCCCTTGTGGGCTTTCAGACATTCATAACCTTTGTGCCAATTCCTCACGCAATTGGCTTTTTCTGCTCTTCCCTGCCCTGCCCCACGTGGGTTTTGCAGTCTTCGGCCTATGCCCAAGCCCCATGCAAATGGTGCTGTCTCCCAATCAGCCCCTCCCTTTCAGGAGACCATTCCTCAGCTAAGTGGCTGTGCCTGGGATGGAGCACCTTCTTCCTTGGGAAGAGGCAGAATAACCTTTGTACGTCCCCTGGGGATCTGCCCCTATTAAACCAGACACCTCCCATGGGTTCCTCTCAGAGCAGAAATAGCAGTAATATTTTGCCATAGGAAAACATAATATATTCTGCTCTGAGCACCACTGAGGATGTATCCTGGGGTCCTCAGTGCTGCTTAGCAGCATCCTCACCCCACTCCCAGCCCACAGGGTAGACCCAGTTGGCATGGTTTGGGAAGGGTGTGGGTATATCCAGGGGATTAGAGAGATGCTGTCACAATGCCCCTCCTTTTCAAGTAGATGTGGGTATAGATTTCCCCCCAGACCTTGCCACTTCCTAAGACTCGGGATATTTTGGTTTGGCCCTAGTCTGTTTGTTTTGTTTGCTAGGTGGGTTGGCTGTGCTGTAGTGGCAAACGTGATTAGCACCAAAATGCCCCTGAAGGTGCTGACAATCTTCCCATTTGCTTCGCTTAAAAAAAAAATCAGTTGCTTTTGTCCTGGTGTTCTCATTTGGTTTGATTTCCACCTGTTGACTCTAATGTGTGCTAGAAGCCTTTCCTTAAATTGCACTGAGTATGCACACAGACACACACACATCCTACAGACTCCTTCCCAGCCTAGCAGAAACCTTTTGCTGGGATGTGAGGGCCTGCAGCAAAGTTTGGGGCATCCACAGCATCTCTTTCATGTTGGGGGGGGCAGGGGGTTTGTTGGAATGTATGCAATGCCTGGATTCCCCGGGGAGCTGGCCCTGCACAAAGGAGCGGGATTAAGGTGGCATCAGGGCAAATCCCTCTGAATCTGTACACACACGGGTTCTCTTTTGTGCTTGTGCAAGGCACTGAAATTCTGTATTTTAGTAGTTTTACTACTAAGAAATGTTTGGACAACTATATCTGATTAAAAACAGCATTCAGAATGACTTTACATGTCCATCTTTCATTTTTCTTTTAAACTATTCACATTTATTGAAGCAGAAGGTTTTCCTTCCCCCTTTCCTCCCCCATAGAAGACTCCACAGTCTGTTTTTAAATGTTACTCTCTCAGAGCAGGATGGGGGGGGGCAAGGGTTGGTCACCTGCAGCAGCCTTGCTTGCTCTCTCTTTGAGGTTGCCAGAAAGAGGGAACAGGTAGCTGAAGAAGGGCCCCAGCATCTCTGCCTTCTTTTTCTCCCCCCTCCTATACATATAGTTTGGAAAGGAGAGAAGACTAGAGATGGGAGTTTGGCAGGGCCCTTTCTTACTCCTGAGGTGGCAGCTATACCATTTTCGGGCAGCTTGGGTCCCAGTTCCAACTCTTGCATCCTACCAGATGATGGCTGCTATGAAGCATAGCAAAACAATTCCACACAAGTTGCAAGACCACAAGTTGCTGGCTTCAGAGAATGATCTGAATGAGTGTTGTGATGCGTTCACCACTTTGCTGAAGCTAAGCTGGTTGGCACCTAGAGGAAGATGCATAGACATGCAAAACAGACAGAGCAAAATTAATAAATCATAGAATTGTACAGTTGGACGGAACACAAAGGGCCATCTAGTCCAACCCCCTGCAATGCAGGAATCTCAACTAAAACAGCTATGACAGATGGCCGTGCAACCTCTGCTTAAAAACCTCCAAGGAAGGAGAGTCCACAACCTCCCAAGGGAGACCTTGCCACTGTCAAACAGTTGAACAGCTCTTACTGCCAAAAAGTTCTTCCTGATGTTTAGCTGGAATCTCCTTTCTTGAACTTGAAGCCATTGGTTCGAGTCCTACCCTCCAGAGCAGGAGAAAACAAGCTTTGCTCCATCTTTTGTGTGATAGCCCTTAAGATATTTGAAGATAACAATCATAACTCCTTTCATCCAGGCTAAATATACCCAACTCCTTCAACTCATAAGGCTTGATTTCCAGACCCTTAATCATCTTGGTTTCCCTTCTCCGCACATGTTCCAGCTTGTCAATATCCTCCTTACATTGCTGGTTCAAATCACTTCCACTCGCTAGAATAAACACGTGTAGTTTTAATAACCTGGATGAGGATTCTCATGAGCCTGCCTTTTAAAGACCAGCAACCTGAGACTGGAGGCAAAGAATTCTTGCTCCTTTCAATGGAATCCGCAACATCTCCCTGGCCTGGGACATACGGCATGAGTGTCTGCTGCTGCTGAAAGGGCTTTGGTTTGGGGTTGGAAAGCTGCTGACCCAGAACTTTTGTGAAGTTCTGGCAAGGAGCAGTGCCAACATGCTGATGGGCTGACTCGCAGGCAGGCTGTTAATCTTCTCCAAACCGTCAGCTGGGAGGCCTCTGCATAATGGCTCTGTATTGTGGAGTGGAGCCCTCACTATTGAAGTGAAAGGCAATGGGTGGGGTCTGCTGGATGGAGTTGCTGCTGCCTCAGCACCCCTCGAAAGCCAGGGATGCGCTCAGAGGCAAGCGCATAAATAGGCGTCTGCTTCCTCTGCCTGCCTGCCTGCCTGTCAGAGTTTCCAACAGCATCTGGAAAAGGAGGTATGAATGTGTCCTCACCAGACACATGGTTACCCTGGAGTCCTTCGCATAGCGCTTCCCTACCTCCAGCAAAAGCTTTTGAATGTCATACTTAAGCTTTTGATCCATGTTATCCCCCCACAGCCAAAAAAAAGGGGTAGATGAGACCTAAAGACAGTAAGTTGTATGTAACGGCATCTGTCTTTGTACCAGCGACAGCAGTGAGGGAAGGCCAGGAAGATGTCGCGGAGGGCCTTGGGAGGGTGGGGAACTGGAACACCAGGCAGTGGAATTCCAAGACTGAAACCTGAAGGAAGCTGCAAGTGAGGTGGCGTCTTGAACTACAACTCATTGTGGGTCAGTGGGTGGGCAGAGTGCTGAGAGGAATCTTACAGGGTTGATCTGTAGCAGCAAAAATGCAGTGTGCTGCTCTGCAGTTCCTTGAGGTGCAGAGCTTTGAGTCATGCACTCTTGGAGGAGAACCTTCCATGTGTCTCTGCCTCCCTGAAGCTTAGAACTGCAGAGTTGGAAGGAATCCTAAGGGTCAACCAGCTTCACCAGTAATAAGGAATGAGAAAAAGACCAGCTGGGTGTGGGATGTGTTTACTCTCCACCCCTGTGTCCCCTGTCTCCAGTCCAATGAAGTTGACAGTTGCCTCCATCACAAATAGGTTCCTCCCCAAAGCTCTCCTGCCCTTTTGGTCTTAAAGCTAGACAATAAAGTAGGAATGACCACTGCCTTACTTTGGCCAGTTCTTTGCAGATCAATCTCCCAGAGTCCCTGGAGACTGGGAGTCTCCTTATGCAGATGATGATCTCTTCATTCTCATGCTCTCTGGCAGAAAGCCTGGCAGAAATCTTTGGCAGAGAGGATTTTCCTCCTTGGAGCAATAACCATCTCTAACTTGCACGGGGATGGGGGCGGGACAGGGTTTGATTGCAGACACCATGACTGAACAACAGACCCCTATGGAGGAGATGGCAGCTGCGGAGAGCCCAGAGGAAATGGGGCCAAATTACAAGGTATGGCAAGTGTTGAATTCATCCCTTCCCTGTCCCACAAAGCCCCTGAAGATTTTATACTGTTGCAGGTTTGGGCAGTCTGGATGATGCCCTGAGCCCCTTCTTGGGGTCCTGTACCCAGTGAGGGTAGAAATAAAGGGTTATATTGCTGAGCTGTTCAGACAAGTTTCTCTGTGAAACAAGAAGCTTAGCTGGCTACTTAAGTGTCCTCAATGGCATTCCCCCAAAAAGAGCTAGGTAACAAGGGCAACAACTAAATGATGGGGCCCTCCAGGCAGATGTGGGGCCCTTTCCTCCGCCCCTCTCACCTAACTGTTAAGTAAGAGAACAACAGCCAGGAGAGTGAGTTTTGAGCTGAAAACAGGCTGGAAGCCAGAGACCCAGAGGCCTGCTTGCTCTGTGCTGGATCCCAAACTGTGACTTGACTAATGGAGAAACAAGATCCTTGGGAGTTTTAATGCTGTGAGTCCCTCCATTTATGCTCATGTTGTAAATAATGTGTAAATAATGTCAATGCAGGTGGCGCTGTGGGTTAAACCACAGAGCCTAGGACTTTTCAATCAGAAGGTCGGTGGTTCGAATCCCCGTGACGGGGTGAGTTCCCGTTGCTCGGTCCCTGCTCCTGCCAACCTAGCAGTTTGAAAGCACGTCAAAGTGCAAGTAGATAAATAGGTACCGCTGCGGCGGGAAGGTAAACGGTGTTTCCGTGCGCTGCTCTGGTTTGCCAGAAGCTGCTTAGTCATGCTGGCCACATGACCCAGAAACTGTACGCCAGCTCCCTCGGCCAATAAAGCGAGATGAGCGCCACAACCCCAGAGTCAGTCACGACTGGACCTAATGGTCAGGGGTCCCTTTACCTTTAATGTCATATAGCCTTAAGACTCCACAGTCTCCACTGAACTTCATTCCAAGGAATGCAACTAGGTAAGCTCCTGGAACTCCTGAATTCTCTCACTGCTCAGAGATTGAATAGGGGGATGTAACAATACATGGTGCACATTTTACTAGAAGCAGATACCAGTGGTACCTCAGGTTACATACGCTTCAGGTTACAGACTCTGCTAACCCAGAAATAGTGCTTCAGGTTAAGAAATTTGCTTCAGGATGAGAAGAGAAATCGGGCTTCAGTGGCGCAGCAGCAGCGGGAGGCCCCATTAGCTAAAGTGGTGCTTCAGGTTAAGTACAGTTTCAGGTTTAATACGGACCTCTGGAACGAATTAAGTACTTAACCCAAGGTACCACTGTATTTTTTTAAAAGCTGGTTGTTCTAGATTTAGACAGAAGATGGCACTCTTGACTTCTCCAACAAATCTTTTGCTTGCCAAGAGCAAGTCTGAGCACAGCCCGACCTCCATGTACCAGCAAACATGCAAGGAGCGATGTGATCTTTCCATAGCATGTAGTTTGTGGCCTTTGCCGGTGGCATGGTGTTGGGGCAGTTGTCCCAGGAGCAAAATCCTTAAGGGTGCAAAAACATTGACGTTGCAAGCATTGTAGCTTAGGACTCAGGCCGGAATTGGGATTGCTGGGCAATCGGCTCCTCTCGCACTTTGACCGGCAACCTTGCTCACCCAACCCTGGGGACTAGTTGGGTCTCCTGCAGGACTCACTGCCCAAGTGGCACCTCTTGGTGAGCTGGATCAGGGCAGGTGGCGGGGCAGCACGCTTGCCTCCCATGACAGCTGGGTATGGGTGTTGCGCGGCCAACTTCTCACCAGGGTTACCATTTCTGCATATCACTGGGCTAGGATGTGCCAGGCCACTGTCTTGCTAGCCATAGCCCTTTCAGCTGGGGTGGCAACTTGAATAAAAGTTGGGGGGGATGTAAGCCCCGTCCCAATAATTGATCACATGATGCAGTGCACACACACCATTTGAAAGGCAATGCCTATCCACTTTGGGGGGCAGCCCCTCAAATATTTAAGGGAGGGCAAAGACCCCTTCAGCCCTCCTGCTTGCACCTTGCACTCAAGGGCATTGCGCTCGTCTAGGGCAGGGTATGGGTGCTCACAGGTGCATCCCTTCCTCAGGCCCTCCCTGCTTCCCAAGCACTGGGCTCCCCATAGCTTCTCCCTCTCCCCAGCACATACACTTTCCCCAGCCTCTCCTTTCCTGCCCAACAACAGCCGGCTGTGGTAGGAGGTGTTTGTGGGCATGTGCTGCACATGTCTGCAAAGACAGCCAAGGGTTTCTGCAACAATGTAACTGGTTAGAGCCCACTTCATCGTTCTGGGCTGTCTGTGTAAACTTTCTGGTGGTTTATACTAGACCACCTTCTGCTCCTTTTCTTCTTTTTCAAGAGTTTGGATACCTAAATTCAACTGCCTTCCAAGTGACCTCTTGAGCCTGTGGCATTGCTCCCTATCTCTGGAAAACTCGTCTGGGTATCAGAGAGATCTGAAATCTCAGGGCCTGGGGGGCTCCTGACCACTCTGTACTTGAGGCAGCTGCCTCACTGTGTCTAATGGTTGGGCCGACTGCTGATGAACCTCCTTTGTTCAGATATGCACAGCCTGTTGGGGATGAATGTTCTTGCAGTGGCATCAGGGCTGCCAGGCTGGGCCTGGTGATGATGGTTGCCTTCATCCAGTGATGGCCTGAAACCTAAGAGTGGCCCCTGGTGATGTCATGGTAGGAGGTCCAGGAAACAGAGGTTACTTGGGAGAGCGGAGTGAAGGAAGGCAGGGACCCCCCCCCCCAATTTGCAGCCAGCTCCTGCCAAGCTGAAGCTTGCAAGCTGTATGCACAGTCTTCTTAATATTTTTTCTTATTGATAAAGGTACTCTCACCCACCCTGAGAATCAGGTCCTCCAGCTGGAGGGGTCCAGGCAAACCCAGAGGCTTCAAATCAGACCTGGAGACCTGGCAATCATATCTTCAAGACCTTGTCGGCTTTCAATGAGCTGGCCATCACTTGCTACATATTTGAACTATTAGTTTCCTCGACACACACCTCTCCTTCACTTCCACCTCTTTTCTCTAAGGCTTTTGTTATGAGAATTCTAAGGTCTCAAATATAAATTAAATGTTCATAAATGTACAAGGCAAACACATACATACCATTTGTCTGAGAGAGCAATCCTAAAGCCATTTTGACTCTCCCAAATTGACCTCAAATATTTCTCTGCAAGGAGGAAGGAAATGGGAAATCCTCCCCATTGTCTTTTGCTTTCAAATCCTGTCTTAAGGGCGTGTATTTGTGTATAAGGGTGAGCCTGGCTGCCCAGGTAATGCCCAGGTAATGTAATCAGTGCAATCAGTGACCATTATCAGGTATCCTGGCAGAAAGGATTTCTGCTGTAGACAACCTCCTGTGATTTATTTTTGCTGTAGACCACCTCCTTCTGTGATGTATGTATGATGTTTTAGGGGGGCGGGCTCCTGAGCTACAGGGTGGGCAGTTTCAAAAGTCTGTATAAGGACTCACGCTCCATTGTTCAGGGTTCTCTCCTCCCTCCTGCATGTGGGGAGTGGGGACCCTTTGCAACAGTTAATAAAGATCAGACTTACTAGCCACTTTGCTTCTCTATATACTCTGGTTGGCCTCTGTTTCTCCAACTGATAGAAAACCCACTTGGATACCCCATAAGGGAAAAGGAGCAGTTTTTTTCTTATAAAACTTTCCTTAACAAAAGTTTTCCTGCACCTTTCTTGGGCCCCTTGTTAGAAGCTACTTTTTGAACACTGTCCCCCTGCCTCTGTGGTTGTGTCCTTGTTGTCCCTGAATAAAGTCTTTCAAATTTCTCCACAATTGTGTCTTAATTGTGATGTGGTGCAGTGGACCAGGGAGACCCAGGTTCAAATCCCCACTCAGCCAGGCCTATCTCACAGGGTGGTTGTGGGGATTAAACGAGAAGCGGGAAAACTATGCATACCACCTCAGGCTCCATGGAGGAAAGGTGGAATACAAATGAAAAATAAGAGCTGCTGGAAGCTGCAAACATATTCAGAGAGTCTTCATTCTTTGGCCTTCCCTCCTCCACACAGAGAGAAACAGCTCTGTCTGTCCTAAAGGTGTCTGTGTCACCTTTGGTGGAGGGCATCTCAATTTGGGAATGCTTTTTTCTCCCCCTGCAAACAAGCTGGCTGATAGCTTCTCTCCCAAAACTGTTTCTCCATCAGTACATGCTCCTTTTTGAGGCTCTTTACCCCTTGATGGCTGTTGGGCCACTTGGCTTCTGTGCCCTCATCTAGGTCACCCTCTTCGAGATGGAGAATTTCCAGGGCAGGAAATGTGAGCTCATGGATGAGAACCCCAACGTGACGGAGAAGGAGTTGGACAAAGTGGGCTCCATCCAGGTGGAGGCTGGCCCGTGAGTACCAAGCATGGGAGAGAGCAGGGAGCCACACCGGGCTAGAAGCACATGTCTTGAAATTTGAGCATTCTCAAGGAAAGCTAGATTTTAAAAGCACCCAATTTTGATTTGGGTTTTATCCCAGAAGCTTTTGTGAGGAGTAAAAGTAGTTTGAGAGGTGTATAATGCCCCTAGTTGCCCCTTGAAGGCACCTCTTTTCTAGTTCTGGACTGCTGGCAAAGTTCTGGTTGGGGGGGGTGCCAGTCAGGAACTCCCTTAGGCCTCCTCAGCTCTGTGCAGCCAATTACAGGCAGCTGTGTGTCCTTTAAAAAAAAAAGCTTTAAATGCTGTGCCCAGGTGATCCCAAAGGGAGCAAGCAGAGCAACAGGTGAATTGGCTAAGAGGCTGAGCTACAAATCAGGGAATTGCTCCCGTCACAAACTCACTTCCAGAATCATAGAATTGTAGAGTTTCTAGAAAAATAGATGCCAGAACTATTTGGCACCTAAACACCTCCTTTGTTCTCTTATAATAATGGCAATGGCACCCTCTCTGAATATGCCGGAACTGAGTTCTGGTGAGTTTCAGCTGCCAAAAAAAAAAAAAAAAGCCCTGGTTGGAAGGGACCCAAAGGGTCGTCTAGCAGTAAGTAACCTGGCCCCTCAGCCTTCCTGTCTGAGTTATGGGGATAAAATTGGTACTGATTCTGATAACTGCTGTTCATAACCTGTGTTTTCTTTATTGACAATCAGCACAGCTTCTAGAAGTCTTGTTCTGGTTATGTTAGGCTCTCGCAAAAAAACCAAGAGTCATGTGGCACTGCCCACTTCCCAGGGCTCCTTACCTATAGAAAGCACAACCCACTAAGGAAGAGAAGAACAAAAAATAAAATAAAATCAAAACAGAAACAATTAATTTTGCATATTCCCAAAATCAGGTTAAAACTTTACATGGCTGGGTCTATGTCAGAGGGAAATTAATACACAAAAGTTAGAGGTAGTGTTACAGGGGCCATTCACATGTTGATAACACAGACATTCTGGCAATGGGTAGCAAATTAACTATTGCTGGCAAGGAAAAAATAGATATAAAAGAATAATTTCCTGGATGCCAACATCCAGGTTTGGGGCATGTACTCTCTGATGAGACAAACCCAGCAGAGATTTAAAATCACAAAATCTACAGCAAAGTAAAGTGAGGAAATATGGGCTGTTAGATATGCCCGAGTTCCTTCCAAAGTTCCCCTCTTCCCCAGTATAAAAAAAGACCACATGTTTAGTAAGTTAAAAATGGTTTATTTACAAACTTCCTAAAGGTCACATTCATGTGCTTTTCCATACAGTATTCAGAAAATGCTGCACAGGAATTCAATATTGGCTTGTGATAGCCATGTAGTCTGAATTTGGAGCAACCTCTTTACATGCCAAGCTTCTCAGGTTGACTGAGGAACAACAATAGGTTTGATTCCTCCCACAGGTGGCTCGGGTTTGAGCGTCAGGCATTCAGTGGCGAGCAGTTTGTGTTGGAGAAGGGCGACTACCCTCGCTGGGACTCCTGGTCCAACAGCCACTACAGTGACAGCCTCCTCTCCATTCGCCCCCTACTGATCGTAAGTCACAGATATTTGCCCACAAAAGGGCAGTGGCCATGGGCTACGGTAAATTATCTGTTATTGTCCTGATCTACATTGGGGGAGGACACTCCAGTGCCTTGGGCAGCCCTTGTATGCCAGTTTCATGCTCCCTTTATCATATCCTCTGTGTTTGTTCAGGATATTTATCCTTCTAGCCCCATGCTGTCCACTCTGGTTGGCAACAGCTTTCCAGGAGCTCAGGCAGAGAGCTTCCTTCTCATCACCTGCGTTCTGTATGCATAGCAAATGTCCTGGTACAGCCCCTCCCTCTTCATTGTGAATATGTGGTTCATTGTGAATATGTGGTTGCAGGGGGAGAGGGTTCAGGGACCCATTCAGCCACCCCCACTCCACACCAGCTCCCATCACTTGTTCCCACTGCAGGACAGTGCAGACCACAAGATCCACCTCTTTGAAAACACCAGCTATGGGGGCAGGAAGATGGAGATCGTGGAGGATGACGTCCCCAGCTTGTGGGCTCATGGCTTCCAGGACCGCGTGGCCAGCATTAAGGCCCTGAATGGAATGTAAGGAGGGAGCGGGGGGGGGGGGGAGAGGCAAATCCTGTAGCCCCATGCGAAAGGTGGAGGGGGTGCCTCTGCTTCAGAAGGGGGCTTCTTTGCACAGTTGCTTCTCTTGGAAGAGCAAATCCCTAAATCAGCTTCCTTAGAATTAGTATATAAAGCCCTTAACAATTTGGGACCAGCTTGCCCCATATCTTTTCCCCCTTGACTGCTGCAATTGGCAGATCTGGCATTCTTGCAGGGGCTGCATAATATCTATTCCACATTTGTAGAAAATGGATATTTTAGTGTGGCAGCACCTACACTCTGGAACTCCCTTCCTATTGACATCAGGCAGGTGCCTTCTTTTTTAGCACCTGGGGCAGATCTACACTCAGGGTTTTTAACCTTGTTGTTGTTTAGTCGTTTAGTCGTGTCCGACTCTTCGTGACCCCATGGACCAGAGCACGCCAGGCACTCCTGTCTTCCACTGCCTCCCGCAGTTTGGTCAGACTCATGTTGCTAGCTTCAAGAACACTGTCCCCACCATCTCATCCTCTGTTGTCCCCTTCTCCTTGTGCCCTCAATCTTTCCCAACATGAGGGTCTTTTCCAGGGGTTTTTAACCTTAAGGAAGGGCTAAGAAATGGTTTTGACAGCCACAGGACACATTATGTCCTAATGAGTTGTTGAAAGGTGACACCAGAGGGCGCTGCAGAGCAGCCAGCAACCGGCAGTAGGAAGATGGCCGCTTTGACAAATAAAAAGGTAAAAAAACCCGTGACGTTTTAGAATGATATATCCCTGTTAAAACGATATAGCCCTGTTAAAAACATTCTTGTTTAGCCAAACCTACCCAGCTGAAAGTTAGTGTGAGTTTTAATCCGCTTTTAGCCTTTAACTTTTTGAAAGTCTTAAATTGTTATTAATTCTTCTTATAGACAATTTTATTGTTTTATCTTTGTTGTAAACCACTTTGAGGGTTTTCTTTTTTTACAATCAAGTGGAATATAAATTGTATGAAATAAATAATTATGGAACTCACTGAAGGTAATCCAACCGATTTTGGCTCATTCTGGCATGTGGGCTTATCTCCCCCCCCCCAAAAAAAAGATGAAAAGAACAGGCAGGAGGCACGGAAACCCCAAAAATGCAGGAAGGAGGAGCTGGTTCTCCAAAGTGGTAGCTCTGAGCTACTGACTACAGCTCAAACACATTTGGAACAGACTTTCCTTCAGGAACAACCTTCAACTTCCTGAGCCATTTTGGCATTCCTGAAGCAACCCCCATAAATGTTTCTGCCAGGACTTGCTCTCATTTTAATTGTCCACACACCTTGTCCAGCCCCCCTTTTGCTCTTTGTCTTTCTCTCCCAGTCTCTGGCCTCCATCTTCACATTATTTGAAATGTGAGGGGAAAGGGCCAAGACTATTAGCGTGGTTCTTGCTCTTAAAACCTGTCTCTCATTATAGATCTTTGTAAGCTACTCTGATAGTCTTTTCCAGCCAAAGAATTTTGGGGTGATGGCAGTAAAAAATGCTTCAAATATTATAAATGAATGTAATACATAGTTGGCTCTGGGAGGGACAATGGCCAGTGAGAAAGATCTATTAACAATCATGCTTATAACCAGAGTGGCTGGTGGGTGCTTGAAGATCTTTGGGCAAAATTTTGGTCTTATATATTTTATTAATCAGATGTCCAGTACAAATGCTCTCTAGGTACTGCATAAAATGAGATTAAAACAGGAAAAAAATGCAAAGCAATAATATACAAGGTCTGGGCAAATAAAAATGGATTGGTCTCTGGTATCTTTCCCTGGGGAAAGCATTCCACAAAAAAGGGAATTAAAAAGTGACATAAACAATGAAAAATGAAAAGAGAGTTGGATTCAAATTCTGACTAAACATTAGGAAGAACTTTCTGACAGTAGAGCTGTTCAGCAGTGGGACAGATGACCTCAGAAGGTGATGAACCTTCACTGGAGGTTTTTTTAACAGATGTTGGATGCCCATCTGCCAGGGATTCTTTAGTTGCGATTCCTGCATTGCAGGGATTTGGCTTATAATAAGGTTACCAGATTTTTTTTAATGAATCTGGGGACACTTTAAATACATACATACATACATACATACATACATACATACATACTACATGTTCAGGACGTTGATGCTGCAGCAATGGTGCTGGCAGAGGGGCGGCCGCCACCTTGACCTCAACCACCATGTTTCCCCTTCCTCCGAGGCTTCTATCTCCTTTCTCCATGAGCCTGGGCAGCCCCTGAGTTGGTTCTTCAGTGGTGGTGGTGGGGGAAGCGGTGCGCAGTGGGTCAGGCATGGAAGGCAGAGAAGGAGGGCCGAGAGCAGCGGCAGCGCAATGCCTCCCTTCCCATTGGAGCAGCCCCAATCCCATTCCTACTTGTGTGCAAGCAGGAGGAGGCGGGGATCCCTCAGCTTCCTCTTGCCTAACTGAGAGATCCCCACCCTGTTCCTGCTTGCACGCAAGTAGGAGTTGGGAGGCTGCTCCAGTAGGCATCATGAAGCCTCCCTTCACAGCTTAATTGCTGGGGTCAGGGAAGGTGGAAGTAGCTCGGAAGCTGCACCTTAGAGCCCCTGCACCACAATCATATGGGGATTTCTGAGCAGCTCCTGAAGCCAGCCAGAGCCAACTGCTCCAGGCTGCTGAGACTGCCGCTGCTGCGTTTCCCGGGGATATTAGATGAAATCCACGGACATTATTCGCACATGCGGGGACTATCCCAGGGAAACGGGGACTTCTGGTAACCCTAGCTTATAGGGCCATTGGGGTCCCTTGCAACCCTACAGCTCCATGATTCTGTGAGTCTATGAGTTGAAAACTGTAACAAGCAGCACAGGTGGCCATAAAATGCCCAGGAAAGCATCTTGAAGGACTATTTGACCAGTACTGAGATGTAATTCACCCAGAGGACACTGATGGGTGAGCAATCTATAAATGAATGAATTCCTTTGTAGCATTTATATCCTGCTTTTTCCAGTCAGATGGCCTTTGTGGTGGCTTAAATGAACTAAAAATAACCCCAAAAAAAAAACATAGCAAGCAAATTAATTAGAGCCTGCATCACAAACAAATCTCAGAGACCTGGAATGTGTTGCTCAAAACTGAAGGATATGCAAGCATAATCAAGGATTGGGTTTTAAAATAAATAGAGTTTGAGGATGTCCTTAAAATCATGCCCCCCACCAATGCAAATAGCAGCCCACAGGAAGGGGGCAGAGGGCAGGCTCCAATCTAGCTTATATTATTGTAACCAGAGTTTGGGAAGTTCATTTTTGAAAGGAACTAATACTAGATCATGTTTGACATGCCCCAACAGAAAGTAATTCCAGTTCATGTTTGTCCCTTTACAAAACAAAGTGGTTCAGCTCCCAGTTTAGTTCAAGTTGTTGGCATCTGTCTTTCTCGAGAAAAAATGGAGTTCACGTAATGCTTCTGAATACCAGTTGCTAGAAGCTCCTGGTTGAGGGCTTCTCCCCTTTAGTGCATCTAGGTGGCCACTGTGAGAACAGGATGCTGTACTAGATGGCTCTCTTTGGCCTGATCCAGTAGGCTCTGCTGATGTTGTTAAATTCATCTAAATGATCCTCCGGGGTGGGAGGGAATTCAGCATTCAGGATGTCAGCAGCTACTGTACTGGTGTGACATATACTTCAGAAGACATTGAACCACACAGACAGTGGAACGTGACTCAATGAGTTCATTTCCCTCAACAATTACGAACTTAGAGAGGAAAAAAAGTGTGTAAGGAAATGAAATTGAAGATAAACTAGAAACAAACCTAGTTTAGTTCAACCAGAAATCATGGGAACTACTTTTATGCATAGTTCAGAGATTTTTGAACTAATTCTGTGAACTAATTCTAACACACATTCTGCCTGAATTTGCCTTTGAACGGCACCTGGAAATTAAAACTGGTGCAAGATGATCTTATCTTCCTGGTACTTGTGCTGACGTCTAATTAATTTCAGGACCCAATTCAAGATGTTGCTAACTCCCTATTAAGGGAAACCATTCTTTCTCCAAGCTAGTGCCCAACAGACATTGCTGGACTCCATTCATGGGTGTAGCCAGGGGACAGGGGGGGCACTGCCCCCCAGATCAGGTAAATCAATAAAAATACATAACTAATGGAGGTTTGCCCCCCTAACATAAATCATGGCTACTCTCATGACTCCATTTCCCATCAGTCCGAGCCAGCATAACTGATGATCAGGGATGATGGGAACTGTAGTCCAATATCACCAGCCTGGGGAAGTGTGCCGTAAACCGTTTGGGACACGGCCTTCTTCCATATGAACCTGACAGCCCACCACGTTTACCTTGGGACCTTTGATCCAGGTTCTTCCACCAGGAGAAGTACATTTCGTTGGGATACAGGAGAAGACCTTTTCAGCTGTAATACCCTGATTGTGGAACTACTTCCCAAAAGAGGCTTCGTGTGTGTGTGTGTGTGTGTGTGTGTGTGTGTGTGTGTATCCTTTTCATATTTTACACCAAGCTTTTTCAACTTTCATACCTAACCTACCATATAGCTCTGTTTTGTTGAATCTTATTATGTAAATGAAAATTTCATTTTGTAAATTGTCTTCGGAGAGGAACTGTTGAGAGCCCAAAGGCAGTAGTTCTGACTTCAATGAGTAGTTCTGGCTTCAATGAGTAGTTTGGATCTTTGGAAATGAGTTGTTACTGTGGTGAGCTGTGTTGGGAAGGATGCCTGGCTGAGCCTATCCTGATAGGTCCTCCTTCTCTTGCCCCTCTGTCTCCATAGATGGGTGGGATATGAGTATCCCGGGTACCGTGGCCGCCAGTACGTCTTTGAGAAGGGTGAGTACTGCCACTGGAATGAGTGGGATGCCAGCCAACCTTTGATCCAGTCAGTGCGGCGCATCCGGGACCAGCAATGGCACAAAAGAGGCTGCTTTGAGGAAAGCTAAAGTAATAGCGAGTCACATTCATCAAGGAGAAGAAACAGAAATGAGACCCTCCCCTCCCTGAAGTGCTGGCAAAAGGCCGTGTTTTGCTGTCTAAATAAAAATAAAGCCTAATGTTCTCAATAAAGTTCTGAGCCGCCAAGGCTTCTGCTCTTTGCTGTGTCTCCTCTCGTTTGTCACTTGATGGCAGAACTTTGCAGTCAGCAGGTCCCCTGTTCAGTCCTCCACCGCTTTAGTTAAAAAGGACCTCAGGCGTTCACAGGGCTGGGGATGGCCACAGAGAGTGGACACAGCGACAGGCTAAGTGAATCTGGCACACTCTAAGGCAGCTTTGAATGTTCCTATGGCTTGTTCACTGGGAGCAAAGGTGGTTCACCATCAAGACACAAGTGATCTTAAAACACATGGGGAAATCAAAGTCTTCACCTTGTGCCAAAAAAGGCCATAATGCAAGGCTGCCAGTACTTAGCATTGGTTCATCCAGTTTTGCCCTTGCACTCACTTCAGCCCAAGCTCCATCCATCATGTCTCTTAGGAGGTTTTTTGTCACACACACACACACACACGGATATGCAAAAGTTCATACCCAATACATAGTATATTTTTATAATACACTGAAATAAAAGAAATGCTTACTCTAAAATGGAATGGAGGCGGAAAAAAGAAAAAAGGGGGGGGGGAGGGAAATACAGTAAAGGTCTGGAGGTGGTCTGACCTGCCTGCCTTCCAATTGAATTAAGATTCTCATAGGGGTGGGGTCAAAGTGCCACCCCCAAAATCTCCTGAGCCCACCAAGTCTGGGAGATTTGAGCCATCAGGACCCCCCAGGCACTGTGCCAGCTGTGGAGGATGCCAATTGGCATGCCAGTATGGAGCAGGAAGACCACCTTCACATTCCAATGGTCCTAGACTCAACATTCAGGTAAAGTTTGGTAAAGAAATTTCATACATGATAGAAGTTTACAAATTATTGCATGACATGAGAGTGGACAAAGAAAGGTTTCTCTCTCTCCTAACACTAGAACTCGGGGCCACATCCAATGAAGCTGAATGTCAAGAGAGTCTGGATGGATAAAAGAAAGTCCTTCACGCAGCGCATAGTTTTCTTTGGATAAACTGTGGAGCTCCCTCCCACAGCAGGCAGGGATGGCCACCAATGTGGATGGCTTCAAAAGAGGACAAATTCATGGAGAAGGATAAGGCTATTGGTGCCCACTAGCCCTGCTGGCTTTGTTCTGCCTCCACGGTCAGAGCCAGTGATGCTTCCAAAGGCCAGTTACTGGAGACTCCAGGAGGGGAGCATCCTGCAACCCGGGGGGGGGGGGTGGAGCGAGCCAAGGGAGGGTGCACTGCATGGAGCCCCTCCGCAGCCTCCCCCTCAAGCTGTAGGGCGGCTGAGGTGGTGGGCAGACGCAAGCCCCATGCTGCTCGAAAAAGCCGCGCAGAGATTGCAGGCAGTCCGCCTTCCACCTCCCACTCAGGAAGGGGGTGAGGGGTGTGTGGGAGGTATTTTAGGGTTGCCGGGCACCCTTGTTTTATAAAAACACACATATTGGGCAGCTGCTGCTCCTGGCTGCCCCCCCTCGCCCCTTGGCCTTCCTGGCAGTTGGGCGCCGTGGCTGGGCTGGCGAGGGAGCCTGCACACACCCCAAGCGCCCCGACCCCGCTTGGTCGTGAGGCACTGGCTCTGCCTCTTCCGGACCCTGCTCAGGGTTGGAGCCAGGATGGTCCACCAGCCTTGGCCCCTGACGCTGCCCGGCCCACCTCACTGCCTACGCCTCTCTGCCTCTCTGTTGCGCCTGTCAAGCTCAGGGCCCTCTTCTTTTTTTGATCCTGGGCTAAATGGTCTTACAGAGCAGGGGCTCTTTGGATGCCCAGGATGTCTACAGGCCTCAACATCATCTACAGTCATACCTCATGTTACTGACGCTTCAGGTTACGTGTTTTCGGGTTATGGAAGTACCCAGAAGTACCGGAACCCTACCCTTCAGGATGCGAACGCTGCGGGTTGCAGACATGCCTCCGTCATGGATTACGTGGATTACCCGAGGATCCACTGTACATGTCTTTACAAACCGTGACATGCCATTCTGTGTTGAGGGTTCCAATCTGCTTTGCATAAAATGAAGCTCCGTGATCCACATTTGCTATAATGAGAAATCTTAAAAACTGCGGTTGCATGTTCTCCTTTTGGTCACAGGCAGGAGCCGGCAAATTTTTTTAGCTGCGGGCTAAAAAAAACCTGTTGCTCCCCTGTCCCTCAGACCTTGTGGCGGGCTGGAGAAGTGGCATGTGGGGGGGGGGAGCTGGAAAAAGAGGCAAGGGGGGCCAGCCGCTGCGCTTAGCTTCCCAGGGGCACAATCCATAGCGCATTTCATTTCAGTGGGCTTCGGGCGCTGAACAAGCGGTCTTGAAACGATTGCAGCTTACTTGCGAGTAAGCGTGGCTTTAGGACTCTTAGTGTCTGTGCATCCAATGGCAGGGCAGACGCGGCGTCTAAAGTGGACTTCCGGAGGTGGCGAGGCGGAAGGAGCCAATCTCTGCCAATCAAACGCCGCTGAGGTAAACCTTTCCTGCCGTCGCCATCGCTGGGAGTCTCGGCTTCAGGGCGCAGGGCGCAGGCCCTTGGTTTGCCTTGGGATGCCAAAGTGATTGAAATCTATAGGAACAGGAGACCCTCACCCCCAGCTCCTCAAATTGATTAAATCTGCCACATTGCTGACAAATAGGCGCAGAAGCTTTTGTGGGAGAAAGTAAAAGGGACTCACTTTCCTCCGTAAACACGGGAGAGAAGGTGTTTTAAAGGTGGCCAAATGCTGGTGCATTTTTTAAAAAAAGTTGTTGCTTCCAGGTGACTTTCCCAGTTCCTTTTTGTGTCCAAAGAGCTATTTTAGTGCTCTGAGTTGGTGGATGCAACACCCTCCTAGCAAGTGTTATAAGCTTATCAAGACAGACTAGCTTCCTGAGGCTGGGCCAGTAAGAGAGCAAAGGAAAGGGGCTCTGTGCCAGATGACAACGGAGAGAGGCTCCTCTAGTTCTTAGACAGGAGGACAAAGCCTGAGTTTGAGAGCAGTGTGTGCTAGAGGAAAAAGCTGCAGGCTGGAAAGGCAGAGCTCTCTCAACCATCACCCATGGTAGATTTATGCTTGAAACCAAGGCTGTGGCTTTGGGATAAACAAAAATACACCTTTGGGGTGTTAATACTGTGAACCCCTCCATCCTAGACTCAGGTTATATATTTGTATAAAGAAACCATATATCCTAAAGAAACCATAGTTTCCCCTGTGTATCATTTCCAAAAGTTAAAATGAACCCTGGGTAAGCACTTGGAATCTCACCCCCCTCAGAGATTGGAGAGGTATGCAACAATAGGCTTTGCAACATGAGACTATTGAGGGTGCTGCCCATGGAGTTATGGGGTGCGCTAAGGTTATTTGTTAAAGTACAGCAATGCAGTTAAAAAACAAAAAACTTAAATGAAGCTTTTAACTTAAAAACAAACAAAAATGTTAAAACAAAGTGGATTTTAAAGCTGTGCTTTAAAACAAAAAAACACCAAATAATCCCAAACTCTCCAATGCTCTGCAAGCAGCATTTTAGACAGTCCCACTTCTTGCAAAGCCCACTGGACCTATTGAAACAGATTTGTGTGTATGTGAATGTGGGAGAAAGGAGACATGGATCACTCCAATTTGTCTTGGTGCACACCCTTATTAGATGGCAATGTGCTTCCTTCAAAATGTGGTAAGTCAGCCCTGGGCCCTCTTACACTTTTTGCAGAATGGGGTTCTCTGCCCCTCTTTTCTGAATGGACCCAAGCTCTTTGTGGATCTGTTGAGAAACACCAATTAGTACAGAATAACCCCACAATGTTGCCTTATTTCCATTTGCAGTAGTTTTTGCAGGGTGCAGAGAAAGAGAGAGACTCTTCTGCTTCAAGGATCAAGCACAATAAATGTGTAAATGTATCTATGGATCTAGCTATCCATGCCACAGTGATGACTCCCAAATATTATCATGGTTTGGTGTTATCCAGAATAGGGGAACCCCACTACTAGACCATGAGTATTGATGGTTTCTTGAAACTGGGTAGATCCCACACTATCCGAGCCTAGTTTTGCCCCATCTCAGTTATGGGGCATCATGTGCCCACCTGCAAGCAAAAGACATAATGGGCAAGAGGCACCAGGAGACCACTTCTTGTGATCAGCCAACCTGGTGTCTCCAGGCGCTGATGGCAAAAGGCCTTGGACTCCAGGCGCTAACACCAGTCAGGATGGCCTGAGGTCTGATGGCAAAAGGCCTTGGACTTTCCCTGGAGAAGCTCTATTGGACACCAACTGCCTCCACTTAGTGGTTAAGAGCTTAAGCTGCAGAGGTCCAATCAGGTTTAGCTTGTGAGAGTGTTGCATTGGTGGGTGGCTATATTTGAGCTGTTTTCTTTTTAGCATAATTTACAATCCCCAAAAGGGGTACTTGTCAATTGCCAAGGAATAATAAATGATATGGGACGCGGGTGGCGCTGTGGGTAAAACCTCAGTGCATAGGAGTTGCCGATCGTCAGGTCGGCGGTTCGAATCCCCGCAGCGGGGTGCGTTCCCGCTGCTCGGTCCCAGCGACTGCCAACCTAGCAGTTCGAAAGCACCCCCGGGTGCAAGTAGATAAATAGGGACCGCTTACTAGCGGGAAGGTAAACAGCGTTTCCGTGTGCTGTGCTGGCTCGCCAGATGCAGCTTGTCATGCTGGCCACGTGACCTGGAAGTGTCTGCGAACAGCGCTGGCCCCCGGCCTCTTAAGTGAGATGGGCGCACAACCCTAGAGTCAGACACGACTGGCCTGTACGGGCAGGGGTACCTTTACTTTTAATAAATGATATGGGTTGGGATCCCCCTGGGAGCCCCAACTTTATGGGGCTGAGAACAGATCACCCCCCAAAAAAAGTATGCAGGAATGGGGCTGAGGCCTCCCAATCTTGATTGGCTGGGCCATGCTGGGCCTCCCATCAGCAGTGGTGTGCCTTGGTGGGCTATCTCTGGTGGCATAGGGCCCTGCCGGGCCTAGCTGTAGTGGGCAGGCCTCGCAACCTCCTCCCAACTTATGAGACATTGCAAGTGTGTGTTGCACATGTGATGTTACACACACATGTCGAACCCCCCAGTGTCATGCAGAACTCGGTGCCTCTGCTCTCCTGTAAAGAAAGACTGCTCTGTTTGCAACGTTTTAGTTCAGAGAAAGGGTGAGAAAGATACGGCATGAAATATACTTTTAAAATTATGCCTGGCATGGAGGACACAGATAGAAAAAGACTTTTTTTCTTCTCTCTGTGTGTCTCCTGTCAACCAGAACTCATAGACATCGGATGAAGCTGAATGTTTGAAGATGCAGGACAGATAAAAGAAATGACTTCTTCACACAGCGCATAAACTATGGAACTCCCTCCCTCAGGAGGCAGGGATGGCTACTAACTTGGATGGCTTTAACGGAGGATTGGAGAAATTCATGGTGGAGGAGAGGGCTCCCAGTGGCTCCTGGCTACAATGACTCTGCTCTGCCCAGGAGGGGAGAGTGTTGCTCTTCTGCTTGCATATTGTTCGCCCCTTTCCCTTTGGAGCCTTTGGGCAGCCAGTTGCTTCAGTAGATGGATCTCCCTGTGGTTGCTTCTTGCCAAACCAGCAGGGACTGTGGTCTGAGCAGCGGGCAGAATGTGTGCACAGCTGGAAAAACCCATCTTCCCTTAAAATAAACAAACAAAACTCCAACTTTGCAACTGCTGACCTTGGCATTTTTATTTCTATTATTTTGCCTCCTAAATGAGCTATATGGGTGTGTTGTGTTTATCAAAGAGGGACAGTCTCTCGTCCTCAAAATCCCCAGGCTGGACTGAGCTGGGAGCAACATTGTTCCAAAGGGATGCCAGGGGGGGGGCTTGGCAAAGATCCTGCTGAGGTTGACAGAAACTCCCTTTTCTTGCCAACAGGCCTGACAAAGAGAGTGGCTCCAAAATGAAAAGCTCATGAAATAATTCTGCCTCTTGGTCTTTAGCAGGACAAAGGGTCGTGACGAGTCAGCTGATCTGGGTTTTCATTGCCCTTTAATCCAACATTCTCGATTTTGATCACACATTCGTGAACTCGATAAATACTTCTGGTGCATTAATGTGCCGGCTGCCTATAAATTCTGGTGCTTGGCTGCAGCACTTCCAGTGGCATAAGCAAACTCTGGTGCAACTGGTAAGCATCTTATTCTTTTTTAAAATCCCCCCCCACAAAGTTTTAAAGCTGGGGGGTTTGGGGGTTTTTTGTTATTTTTTTTTGGGGGGGGTCTTCTTCTTTCCATTCCAGGTGTGAATATCCTGTAAAGGAAATCCCAGAAGGAGAAATTAGAAAGCATCTCTCTAGTTCTCAGCCAGTCTCAGCTTCCACTGAGGCACCTCAAGTTAGGCATCCAATATCTTTGTTCCAACCTGTCCTTACCTATGCTTTGAAAATCCAAACAGAAGAGCTGCCTCCATTGCCTAGGGAATATCTGTACAGTGGTACTTCGGGTTAAGAACTTAATGCGTTCTGGAGGTCCATTCTTAACATGAAACTGTTCTTAACCTGAAGCACCACTTTAGCTAATGGGGCCACCGGAGCATGATTTCTGTTCTCATCCTGAAGCAAAGTTCTTAACCTGAGGTACTATTTCTGGGTTAGCGGAGTCTGTAACCTGAAGCGTCTGTAACCTGAAGTGTATTTAGAGAGGCGGAAGAGGGACCGCAGCAATTGGGAGGGGAATGCCTTTTGGACAAGAGGGAATTGAGACAGGCAAGAGTGGTTCACAGCCTGCATTAAGCCGTGCTAAGTGCTTAAAAAAGTAAAGTAAAGGACAGTTAAGTCCAGTCGCAGACGACTCTGGGGTTGCGGTGCTCATCTCGCTTTACAGGCCGAAGGAGCTGACGTTTGTCCGCAGACAGTTTTCCCGGGTCATGTGGCCAGCATGACTAAGCCGCTGGGACCGAGCAATGAGAGCTCACCCTGTCGCGGGGATTTGAACCACTGACTGGCAAGCCCAAGAGGCTCGGTGGTTTAGACCACAGCGCCACCCGCATCCCTATGCTAAGTGCTTAGTTGTGAGTAATTCCTCCTGGCTAGATGTGTCTGTGTCTGGGTATTTCCCAGCACCTTGGCAGCAATCAGAGGGTGTGGTCCCCACCCCCTATAGACCCCCCTTTTTTTCTTTTGCAAACTGGCTGATTCCCTCTCCCTTTCAAATGTATTCAAATGTATATATTTTCTAGCTTCCTTTTACACAGCAGTCTCTTTAACCCTGGCAAGTGTTTGTGTGGCCACCTGCAAATGGGGACCTTTCTGTTAGGTTTCCTATCTAGAAATGTATATGATGGGAAAGGGAGCTGGTTGCAGTGGCGCTTTATGGCTGCATTGCAAATGAAGAGAGCCAAGTAGGGGACAGGAGAGCAAGACAGTTTCTGCCTAAACTGCACTTCCCCAAGTGATTTCTGGACCAAAATGCAACTATCTTTCAAAATTGGCACTTCTCTGAGTTCTGCGGTGCAATTCTCCAATCCTTGAAAATGTTACAAAAATGCATCTATCTATCGGGGTGGGGGAGAGGAGAGAGTATCAGGGGGCATAGCTTGCAAAAAATATACATGTTAGGCACAGCTGCATACGTGACAATTAGGGAAATGGCACACTAAAAGGATGACTAATTTTCATGAGAACTCTTTAAAATAAAAAGTGCAGATTGGTGTGGAGAACAGATTGGGGCAAAAGAAAATTTGAGAGAAACTGAAACTGACAGATCAATCCTCTGTCCCTGCTGTATCAGGAGATTGTCTCTTGCCAGCTCTGCCGCTCCAGCTTACCTACCTCCCAGGACTAGTAAACCCAGCATTGGAGACAGCAATGCTTCTGAATACCAGTTGCTGGAAATTGCAGGAGGGGAGAGAGCTCTAGTGCTCATGTTCTTGCAGGATTCCCATCTGTTTGGCCACTGTGAGCATAGGATGCTGCACTAGATGGATCCAGCCAATGGCATTGCCGGGTTTCTGGTGCTCATGAAGCAGTGAGCTGAACTTCCTCTGGGATGGCCCCTACCTAGCATTGTGTTTGTGCAATTTCTCCAATGTGGTGACTTTGCCCTCATCCTTCTAATCTGATGTGAGGTTCTCTCCCCAGGGAGCAGCTCAACCACTTTTCATGATGGCTTCAGACCACCAAGCATCAAAACAGCAGCAAGCCAGTTCCAAGGTCAGTAAGGGGCAGGCCAGGAAGCCCAGAGGGCTTGCAGCCCTGCAGAGGCTCTCCCTGGAAAGAACTCAACTGGGTGGAAAATTCCACTGCAGATCCAGAATCTTGCGGGGCAGCAGGAAGCAGTGACAAGAATAGATTTTGGTCCAATCTTACATTTTATCAATAAAATGAGAACCTTTGTAACAGGGGAGATCTTTCCTGTAAACAAAGGAGGTGTAAGATCAACAAAGAGTATTATAGCTCCTCAAAGACTAATGAATGCATCATGGCGCAAGCTTTTGTGGACTTTTGTGCATAAAAGTGTTAAGTTGCTCAGAAGGCAAGCAGAATGCAAAATCATTAGCCCACCATTTCTACCCCGACTAGGAGAAAGGTAATCTCCATCTTGCTGGCTTCTGTGCAGAAAGAGAAAAGCAAGCCTGGCCGCCTTCCCCATCAGCACCACACAGAAAAAGGCAGGAAGCACAGGAGCTCCAGCAGGGGGCTTGGGCATCCTTGACATAGGTGGGCTTCTTAACTGTATGTGTGGGCTGGTAGGGAGGACTCTCCAGAGCTTCAGGCAGAAGAACATTCCCAGCCCTACCTGGAAATGCCAAGGATTGAACTTGGGGACCTTCTGCATTCAAAGCAGATGCTCTGCCTCTGAGCAGAGTAGCACTGAGAAACCACGGAAGGATTTTCTGGGAGCTTGAGTGTGGTCTGGACTAGCTCATGAGGTCTTTGACTTGGCTGGACCCTGCCCCAAGCAGAGCCACAGTGGGTGGTGTTGGTTCCTCCTGCCCCCCCCCATCAATTCTCATTTATTGCTCCTATGTGTAACCTGTGGGACAGGGGGTTGGTCTGTAAAAGGCAGCAAGTTGGTTATAAGCAAGGACCAGGGCAGGATTCATGAATACATCTCAAACTTCTACTCTGTGCAGCTTTTGCATCACTGAGGTTCCTCTTTAGCCCTACAGGAAGCAGGACCGCATGTGCCTGTTCAAGCTTCAAAGATGCTTCAAAGCATCCTGCCAACTTTTTACACACACAAAATGAACCAGAAAGTGGACAGAGCAGGGCAATGGAAAGGTGGTGGAACAGGGATCCACCCTTGCCCCCCTCCCCATATTGGGCCATAATACAACAGAAGTTGCCAGGGACCCAAGCTTTGCAAAGTTCCCGAATGCCTCTCCTACCTCCCAGCCCTCCTGCCAGGGTTACAGGAAGTGTCCACACAAAGACAAACCCTGAAATGAGCTTGTTAATGCTGGAACTGGTTTCAGTAACAAAGCCATGTTACTTGGTCTTTTGCAGCAAAAAAGTCCAACAGATCTGAGGCATCTAAGGGCCAATTTTCGGAAACCTGTTTGTGTTTCAGTTCTCACTGGTCATCTTTTTTTACTCTCTGCTGTTGTGGTGGGCAGGAGGGGAGGCTTTGGGTCTATTATTTATTGCATTTATATCCCACCTTTTTCTCTAAGGAGCTCAAGGTGACTTACATGGTTCTTTCTCTCCTCACTTAATCCCCACAACAGCCCTGTCAGACAATGGTTGCCCCATGAGCTTTATGGCTGAGCTTTATGGATTTGAACCCTGGTCTCCCAGGCCCAACACTCTGACCACTAGGCCACCCTTGCTCTCTCCCAGTGAGCCTGGTAGATGTTATGTATCTACCCTTGCTTTCCCTTTGGCCTGCTCCTCCTCCAGGCACTAGCATTCCCATCTTTTAGCTGGAACCTCAGTGGATGGTACAATCCATGGAGGTCTTAGGCCAAAACTGGATAACTAGGTAGGCTAGGGAGGAAATTGGTGCAGGATGAAGTCACTCACAGTTAGGCCTGTCAAAAGAATGTTACAGCATTGCTTGTAAAGTCCTGTTGCAAAGTCCCATTGCAAAGTCCTGTTTCCGCCTGTGAACAGCCCAGGGAGGTCCATGAAGGAGGTACCCATCACCTCCTGCTGCCATCCCAGTATCTGCTTCTCAGCAGGAGGCTGTTCTGAAGGTGCCACTGGAAATCATGTCCTTGGTACATATTTCCACCTCCTTTGAAGTGTAAGTATTCTAACCCCTTCACTTGACCTGCTCCACTTGCTCCCTGCTCCAGGACTGAAAGGGAAATCTGAAAGAGGGAAGTTTATAGGAAAGTTCACTGACTTGATGAAACCTGAATGCAGCCAAAATTCCTGGTGGATCCACTGGCAGAGGAAGAGAAGTGTGGAGGGAGCGCACCGCCGCTGGCAGCGCAATCCTGGTGGGGTGCCATCGCAGCTGCCCCCCCGCCTGTGCTGGGCGCCAGGCCCCCGCAGGTGGTGCACCACACCCCCAGGATGTGCGCCAGCCCCGCCCCCACCAGCTTTCCGCCACTGGGTGGATCATGATATTTGTAGCTCAGAGGTAGAGTATCTGCTTTGCATGCAGAACATCCCAGCTTCAGTCTTCAGGTAGAGCTTGAAGAGACCCTCCCTGAAACCCTGGAGGGCCACTGGCAGTCAGTGAAGACAGTACAGTACTGAGCAGTGGCCTAGCCGGGGGGGGGGGCTGGGGGGTTCTGGGTGCCCCCATGGCAGGTGGGGCAGGAGCACAGGAAAGGTGCGCCCAGTCAGGGGTGGCACCCCCTTCCCCTTGTGGCCAGCCAAGGGGCACCAAGGGGGGGGGGAGGCACAGCCGCTGCAACTACCTCCCCCCAGGGCGTGACCTGGGACAGAAACAGTGGACAGCAGGAGAGGTGATGGAGGCCTCTCTTCTCCTCTCCTCCACTGGCCTCAGCATGTGATTGCACCCCCCATGCTGCATTGTGAGGCTGCAATCAGATAGTCACAAAGGCGCACATGGCTGCCAGGCACGTGCCCTTCAAATCAGTCCAATCAGACTAATTGCAAGCAGTTGCTCCCTCTGTGCCCCACCCCCTGCCACTTTGTGCACCTGCCCCGGGCGGCAGTAGCATACGCTCTGCCATTGGTCCTGAGCTAGCTGGACCAGCGGCCCAATGCCATATAAGGGAGTTTCCAATGTTCATACCCAGACACAGCTGTTCTCTCCATCTGTATGTTCGGCTAGCCACACCATGATGACTGCACTAACCTGTCCTCCTCTGTTCCTGCCTTCTCTGCCTATTTGAAGGCAGTTTCCCCTCCAGATGTTTGGATTGCAGCTTTCACCAGCCACCCAGCATCAAAAGGCTCTGGGTAGGCACACTGAGTAGGGTACCAGGTGTCTGTCTGTCTGTCTTTCTTTCTCGGGTTCCAGATTGTCGTCTTCGAGCAGGAGAATTTCCAGGGTCGCTGCCATGAGCTGAATGTGGCTTGTCCCAATTTGAAGGAGGTTGGGCTAGAGAAAGTGGGCTCCATCCTGGTGCATTCAGGCCCGTAAGTCTCCCCCTGTGCGAACAGGGGTCAGGAAAGATGCAAGGGCAAGCTTCTGTACCAAGGTGGGGTTGGGTCACACAGCTAGAAGGAGCTTCGTTTTTGACACTGCACAATTTCATGCAAGTGTCTTGTTTGTCCTTCAAAGGGCAAAATGAGGAGAACCTCCTGCCTCTTCAGATAATTATCTCAGATAGCCTCTGAGGTGAATCATGCTCCAACATAACTGTCATTTCAATGATGAGCAAATATGACACTCTTAGCCCTTTGTGGGAGAGGGAATGATGTCTTTGGAGGAATGAGATTCCTTCAGCTCCAACTTTCATTTTAATTTTATTTCAGCAATTTTTGTTAGGGTGAGGTTTTGGGTTTGAGTTTATGAATGTATGGATCATTTGAGCAAGTTTGGGGTTCTTCTGGGTTTAAGGCTGTTTATTTCCTGTTAGGTGAAGAATAGGTTGTAAATAGCATAAGTAAATAAATAATTGAATTAAAATGTTGGAGTAGTTCCCCTCCTCTACACCAGAGGCATACACCAGAGATTTTCTTCTAAATCTGAAGTGAGGACAGATAATTTATCTGTACAGTGGTACCTCGGGTTAAGAATTTAATTCGTTCTGGAGGTCCATTCTTAACCTGAAACTGTTCTTAACCTGAGGTACCATTTTAGCTAATGGGGCCTCCCACTGCCACTGTGCTGCCGCTGCACAATTTCTGTTCGCATCCTGAAGCAAAGTTCTTAACCCAAGGTACTATTTCTGGGTTAGCGGAGTCTGTAACCTGAAGCGTCTGTAACCTGAAGCATCTGTAACCCGAGATACCACTGTACTGCCAGGAAAAAGTTAGTTCTGCTCCAGCTGATGGAGATTTTTGTGGGGGTTGGGGGGTATCTCTGTGCTTTTCCAGATGGGTTGGCTATGAGCAGGTGAACTGCAAAGGGGAGCAATTTGTCTTTGAGAAAGGAGAATATCCCCGCTGGGACTCGTGGACCAACAGCCGGAGGAGCGACAGCATCTCTGCCTTGAGGCCCATCAAAGTGGTGAGGAGGTGGGGAGGGGAGGGGGACATTCTGGCTGGTGGCGGGCAGCACTCATGTAGTGAATGTCCTGGGCTGGATACAAGAATGGGCAGGTTTGGCTTCAAGGGTCTGCAGCTGATCTTAGAAGATTTTGGAGTGGGCAGATGGAATCATTGAGCTGGGATCCCACTTTGGGGTCACTCAGTCCACCCCCTTGTAATGCTCTCCTAAGGATGTGTGCCCAGCAACATCAAATTCCCCATCCCTACTCGAAATATGATGGGGCTGGACAGACATAGAACAGATGGCAGCTTCAGCAGCAAAAACAAAAGAGAGGAAGGAAAGAAGGGTGCAAATGATGACCTTCATGTGCCCTTTGTGGTTTGTTATTCCAGTTGGAAGGTGGGTCATGGCTTTATCTGCAAAGCAAAACTCTGAATCAGTGACACAAGTCATGCTTTCACAGGAACCACTTGGAGGAAAGAGGGGTTTTGTGGGCAGGGGGGGATGTAATATTCTGGAACACACAATAGCCTAGTTTTATGAGAGAGATTTCTCCCTACCACCACCAACCATATACTTGTGAGGAGGGCCACCCGTGGTGTGTTACTGTTTGGGTGGCTTTCAATGATTAAAAATGCAATGCATTAAAATTCATGCATGGTATTTTCAGTGCTATTTTTCTAGAAAAAGAGCCAGAACTCACCACGGACACCTCCCTTGTTCTCTTATATATATATATATATATATATATATATATGATATTTATTAAAGTTTAACAATTACAAAAAAGAAAAGAAAAAGCAAACAATAAAAAAGTTACAATACTTCAAAAATAAAAGAAAATACAATAAAAAAACAGTACAGCAGAACAATAAAAAGAGAAAAAACAAAAACATTTAAAAACAAAAACATTTAGAAAAAAAACACACATCCAATATTTTCATATCTTTATCTTTCATTTACTTATTTCCTCGACTTCCTCACACCTCCCTTTTTTGTATTCTAATTCAATTAGCTGTTTCAGCAAGTCCTTTCCCTCTTTCTCAGATTTTGTTCTATAATTTATCTTAACGCAGTTTGACCTTAAATTTTACACTTTGACCCATTAACTATCCATTTTACTTAATTCTTTATAACCTTTCTGCTAAAACCATGTAAATTCATTCCAGCATCCTTCTAACATTCATTAATTTTACAATATTTCTGTAAATATACTTTAAATTTTTTCCAATCTTCTTCCACCGACTCTTCTCCCTGGTCTTGGATTCTGCCAGTCATTTCCACCAGTTCCATGTAGTCCATCAGCTTCATCTGCCATTCCTTGTTCTCTTATAATGGCAATGGTGCCTACCTGAGAGGGACTGAGTTCCGGTTGAAAAAAAGCTGTGGGTATTTTAATATATATTTATTAACAATAAAATTGCATGAAGTACATGGCATTGAAGTCCCTTCAAAAACCAAGAGCTGAAGTGGCTGCAGCAGAGAAGTCCCTGCTGCCGCAGAAATTTTCCGATCAGCAAGGAGTGGGCAGCCCTTGCTGGAAGCCTCCAAGGAGAGCTTTTTCCCCACCCCCCTCCGGATCTCTCTGTTCATTCCTGCCTCCAAGGACCCCTTTTAATTACGGGATGTATTTCTTGGAGAAAGAGGTTTAGAAGAGAGATTCCTACTCTCTGGTAGGCACAATGGCGATAGCTACCAAGTACATTACAACTTGGTTAGATATTACATCTACCCTTATCCACTTTTAAACAAATGTTCTGTACAAAAATACAGAATAAAATCACAGACGCTTGGCTTTGCAAATAAGTGAATGTTTTACTCACAGAGTTTCCAAAAGTTGCAGCAAGAAAGTCTCCATCTGCTGGCAGTCATACAAAGAAGAGGCTCTAAAAGACTTTAAAATAAAAGAAAAAAATTTTAAAGGATCATTGCAGGCTATAAAATCTCCCTTTTGGAGAGGTTCAGCTCAATGGCAGCATTTGCAGAGCCCGGAGTCAAAGCTATATAGCAGGAAGAGAAAGACACTGAGGGGAGGGGAGGGGAGGGGGAGGGGGAGCCTGCTAAGCAACACCCACTCTGATAATTTGGGCTCAGGGTTAACCCTTTTATGCACACAGGTGTGTGTCAATAACTGCATATTACAGCATTTATACCCTGCCTTTTCCCCAAGCTGGGATTCAAGGAGGCGTCCAACCTTTAAAAACACCATTATGAAATACAAAGTAATCCCAACAAGCTAGTTAAAAACCAATAGTTAAAATACATTAGAACACCAGCAATTAAAATGCAGTTTGCCCCGACAGCAGCACTGTCTGCACCTTAGTTTCCAAAGACCTGTCCAAACAGGAAGGTCTCAACCTGCCAGCAGAAGGGTGACAAAGAGGGAGTCAGTCTAGCCTCTCTTGGGAGGGAATCTCATATTCTGGGAGCAGCTGTAGAAAAGACTCATTCTTGGGTCACCACCAGCTGTGCTTCTGATGCTGTTGGGACCAAGATCTCACCCAAAGATCTTAACACCTGGGCAGGTTTGCGTGGGGAGATGTGATCTTTCAGGTAGCCTGGGCCCAATCATATAGGACTTTGTAAGTTACAAGCAGCACTTTGAAGTGTGCCTGGAATCAGATTGGTAGCCTGTGAAATTGTTTTAACTGGGCTGTAGTGTGCTGAGGTGGCATAATTCTCCCAGCCACCCCTTACAAGGATCCTACGATGTAAAGCTAATCCAAGGGTTTGAGCCCAGAGGAGTGGAGCTGGCATGCTTCTGCTCCTGCCCAGTGAGCCAGGGTTTGCACGTGGCTTCCCCCCATGGCCTCCTTCTTCCTTTGCTCTGTCACCCTTCCCCCTGCCTTTGTGTGGCTGCCTCTAACCTTGGCCTGGTGCGGCTTCCTCCTAGGACAGCCAGGAGCACAAGATCGTCCTCTATGAGAACCCCAGCTTCACGGGAAAGAAGATAGAGATCATCGATGATGACGTGCCCAGTTTCCATGCCCATGGCTACCAGGAGAAGGTGTCCTCTGTGCGCGTCCAGAGTGGCACGTAAGTCCTCTGCCAGGCAGCTTGGTCAAGCTTGGTTGGCTGAGAGAGCTCATTTCCTAAAGATTCCTGGGTGGAGTGGCACAAAAGCCTCTGAGGTGTTCCTGGACTCAACTGAAGGCCACTGGGGTTTTTGCAGGACACCACTGGCATGCAGCTAGAAACATAGGTATCAGACCATTGGTCTATCTAGCTCAGTATTGCCTCTACTGACTGGCAGCGGCTCTCTTGCCCAGTCCTCCCTGGAGATGCCAGCGGAGATTGAACCTGGGACCTTCTGCTTGCAAGACAGATGCTCTTCTGTGACCCTCCATAAGGACAGTGCAAAAAAGGTGCTAGAGATGGAGGCGCAGGTGTGGGGTAGATGAAGAGGCTGGGCTTCGTTAGGGTCCAGTCTATGTCTTATAGGAAGTGCCCAGAGTCTGAGCCAGAGTGCTGCTTAGGACTGTCTACAATAATATTCCCCAACCTGGTGCCCTTCAGGTCTTTTGAATGACAACTCTCATTAGCTCTGACCATTGGCCAGGGTGGGAGTTGTTGTTCAAAACACCTGGAAGGCACCAGGTGGGGTCTTTCCCAGCCCTGCCTGGGGTGGGTTGAATCTAGGGCCATTTGCAGGGGGGTCAGGGGCCCTATTTCTCCTTGATAGGATCGTGCAAATTCATTTCTTCCTTGAGTTCCTTGGGTTCACGTGTTACACTCAGGCCACATTCATACCAAACATTTGAAGCACTATAAAACTGCTTTAAAAAGTTGAGGCTTCCCGCAAAGAATTCTGGGAGCTGAAGTCTATTAAGGGCACCCTGTTCTCTGAATGGTTTGACAATCAGTCCCTCTTCCCAGGGAATTATGGGAATTGTGGCTCTGTGAGAAGCACAGGGGTATTCTAGCAATGCTCAGCACCCTTAACAGACTACAGCTCCCAGAATTCTTTGCAGGAAGTCATTGCTTCTTAAAAGTGGCACCATAGCTCTTTAAATACATGGTGTAGATGTGGCTCAGTCAAAGTGGCAGGCAGTGGCAGATCCATGATCATCCCCCCTGGATGGTGGAAGCATATAGAAAGGCCTTTTTTGCTTTTGGAAATAAATGAGATGCTGTAAATCTGCTTCCAAACTTTTCTTAATGTTCAGTTCTAAATATAACAAATGTGTTACAGACTGCAAGCAAAACAGAGCAGAAAGCCCTGTCCACTAGCCAGATCCCATCACCTGGGATGAATAGCTGGGAGGGGACTCCCACTGTGTGCTGCGCTGACTCCACTTCCCTTTTGCAGATGGGTGGGATACCAGTATCCTGGCTACCGAGGCTACCAATACCTCTTTGAGAAGGGGGACTATAAGGACAGCGCTGAGTTTGGTGCTCAGCAGCCCCAGATCCAGTCGGTGCGGCGAATCCGGGACATGCAGTGGCATCAGAGGGGGGCCTTCCATCCTGCCAGCTAAGCCTCCCACTCCCCTTCGCTGCTGCCTCCAGACTGGGGAGGGGGTGAGAGTGTGCTCTGAGAGAGCCAGCAAGGGCCCTGACCTGGTCATCTACCCCCTCCCCACCAGCTGGGGCCGCCTCTTCTGCACGCTCATGTGTGTGAGTAACTGTTCTTGCTACTGCTGCCATCACCATGGAATTGCCTGAATAAAGCTTTGCCATTCGAACACAGTTCTTGGTCTTTTCTGTTCTACTCATGATACTCCTAGAATCATGGAATTGTAGCATTGGAGGGGCTCTCTGAGGGTCATCTAGTCCAGCTCTCTGCCATGCAGGAATCAAAGCTACGGCATCCTTGACTTCTGTTTAAATACTTCCAGTGAAGGAGAGTCCACCACCTTCCCAGGGCGTCCATTCCACTGCCAAACGGTTCTTGCTGTCAGAAAGTTCTTTGTGAGGTTTAATCAGAATTTCCTTTCTTAGAATTTGAATCTACTGGTTTGGGTCCTATCCTCCGAAGCAGGAGAAACAAAAGCTCACTCCACCCTCCATTGGCTATGCATTTTTATTGATTTGTATTGATTGGGGGCGGCAACTTTCCCCCCTGCTCCCCCCCCCCCGCTACACCCATGAGTCCAATCCCCTTTGATGCAGGAAGAGCTGCAGTCCAGCAGCAAGCAGGGAGACTTACTCAGCCATGGTATTTTACTTAAGGGCCACTCACTCTTAGATGAACCTACTTCACAGGGTTTTTGGAAGGATAAAAGGACAAAGGAAAACCATAGATGCCTTGGAGTTCAACCAACACAGAAAACTTACAAATTTTCCCTTCCAAACAAAGGCTCCCCCCCCCTTTTTAGGGGGAGGGTTGTGTGCATGGCTAGGTTAGGTGTCTAATGTCTTCCTGTGTGTGAGGAAGAAGACAAAGACAAAAACAAAGGAAGAGAGAGGAAACAAGAGGCATAGAGTGAAGATATGCCTTATGAGGAACGGCTAAGGGAGCTGGGCATGTTTAGCCTGGAGAAGAGGAGGTTAAGGGGTGATATGATAGCCATGTTCAAATATATAAAAGGATGTCACATAGAGGAGGGAGAAAGGTTGTTTTCTGCTGCTCCAGAGAAGCGGACACGGAGCAATGGATCCAAACTACAAGAAAGAAGATTCCACCTAAACATTAGGAAGAACTTCCTGACAGTAAGAGCTGTTCGACAGTGGAATTTGCTGCCAAGGAGTGTGGTGGAGTCTCCTTCTTTGGAGGTCTTTAAGCAGAGGCTTGGCAACCATATGTCAGGAGTGCTCTGATGGTGTTTCCTGCTTGGCAGGGGGTTGGACTCGATGGCCCTTGTGGTCTCTTCCAACTCCATGATTCTATGATTCTATGAAGTGAGCAAGCAGAGCTTCATGCCTGATAACCCCCTATTCCCTCATCCCAGATTCCCCTCACTGGTGAAGTACATGGCAGCCTGTACTTGGGGGGAGCTTAGATAAGAGAGAGAGGGGACGAGAGACAGAGAAGCTGATGCTTGCCCTCCCCCCAATCACACCGCCACTTGCCCTTCCGCATCCCACAGAATCATGCCACCACTTGCCCTCCTAACCCCCCCACCCCAAATCGCATGTGAACTGCTGTTCACCTGTGGGCAGCTGGCAGCCACTAGAGTTGCCATATTTCAAACAGTGAAAATCAGGACAGAAAAGTTGTTGTTTTTTGAGGTTTTTTTTAGTTTTGCCCAAAGTTGTTGACACTGTTGACATGTATTGCCACATGTCCAGATTTTCCCAGACATTTTTTCATTTTTTCCTGTCTCAACCCTTTTGGAGGGGTCTCTTAGGGTTACTTCCCATCTCTCCACATCCCCATAGGTTAGATTACTGCGATTACTGCAGATGGTTTAAGCATATAACATCAATCCTGGCCCAACTGCATTGGCTGCCACTTAGTTTCTGGACCCCATTCAAAGTACTGGTTTTGACATATAAAGCCTTAAATGGTTCAGGATTGCAATACCTGACCTGACCCAGCATTCATCATCAGCTATCATTTTCTGATCATTCTCTATTGCTGTTGAAGGTGTGCACTGTTGAAAGTCTTCTGCCTCTGCTATTTACCATGGAGGGCTGTTTAACCCACAGCCACCATGCTACCTCAGTCATGTGCTGATAGCAGAGTTAACCAGGGTTCCATCTGCACCCCATGCAAATATTACTTGCCCAATGAGAGCACTTTCTCAATCTGGTGATCCTCTTTTGAGCCCCTCCCTGCTCTGTAGTCCTGCAGCCTCCAAACCAGCGAAGGAGAGGCCAAGTTCCCCTCTGTCCTCTTTGCTGGCTGTCCAAGAGGCACCTTGGGTGGCTATTTAAGCTGAAGCCCCCTGGCATGTCACTGGCTGTGATGAATGATGTTCCAAGAAAATTTGCTATTTTCTGCTCCCAGACAGACAAGCGGATGCATCTTGAATGCCAATGAGTCCCCCGTCTGAGGAGGAACTGGGGAGACCAGGCAGCTGCTTTTCAGATTTGTATGTAAAAGCCCCCCCTTTCCAAGTTTCTCCTGCTGTGCCCGGGCGTGCCTTCCCCCTTCATCTATCATTCTAAAACATTTCTGTCTCGCTATTCAGCCACACACACCCCTGTGGCGAAGCAGCTTACAAAAACTAGTAGATGGTTTTGCCCTTAGCTCTGCAATTTAAAATACACAACCCACAAGGAAAAAGAGATTGGGAGGGAGGAGGAAAACAACAAGCTCAGGCAGGTGTTCTTAAAGTCACAGTTCTTCTAATGAACCGTTGGGATAGAAGAGATGAACTGTTTCTCCCTTAGAGGTTAATTTTGAAAAACAAAGTGGCAAACTGCTATGGTTCTCCCTTGGACCAGTATTTGCCTGAATAAAAGTACCCCCCCCCCCATTTAGGTGGGATTTGGAGCCTTCCAGGAAGAATGGGAGGCTATGGCACCTTTCTTGGCTAGAAATTAAGCCATGGCTGAGCCCACCAGAAGTGGCACCTCAACGTAGCTAGGCTCGCTCTGAGGTCCTGCGTCTGTTCCAGGTCTCATGGCTGAGGCACTGGCTTGGGCTTTCCCGGAGGGAAGCGGGGAACCCAAAGCAATCAGCCTTTGGCCACGCATTTGGGTTGGGCTTTGCTTGTTCTGACTTGGTCAGATCCCACCTGGGATGTCCAGTTCTGGGTGCCATAGTTTAAGACAGGATATTAAGGACTTCCGGGTTAGAGCCATTGGCGAATGGCGGAGTTCCTCCGACCGGAGGAACTGGCTCCGTGGAAACTGGGTCTTCCCGCCGCGGCAAAGGTGGGGACCCGCTAGGAATCCCAGGTGGAGGAAGCCTGGGAACGTGGGGTTCAGCAGGGCACCAGGAGCGCCTCCCCTAGTCACAGGGAACCCCATTTTGGGGCTCCGGAGCGAAGTAGGGTGAGCAGCGCGGTGCTGCGAACTGATTGCTACTTTCACGGAGTGAAGCCGCACAGCCATTGCCGGAGAGCGGTGACTTTTTCCTGTGGATAATTAGACTCTAAACAAGTACCCGTGAGTAGAAACGGAAAATTGGATCAAGAAACAAACTAATTTGGCATCGAAGCGGGAAGGTTCAAAACAGGAAGTCCGCCTTCTGCTTTTTGTAAATAGACTGAAGCAAAACCTTGTAAGCTAATAGCCTGGAAAGCCGTTCACAAAGGTCAAAATTTCCTTCATTTATAACCACTAAAACCCCCTTGGAAGCAGGAGAAAAGGGGGGGGGGTGATTTGACTGTTTAAGCCTGCAGGAGAGGGAGTAAAGAAAGATAAGTTTCCACCGTCTCAAACCTGGGAACGGGGTGTCAGAGACAGAAATTGTTGGAGACGTTCATTGACTGTGAATGGAACATTTTGACAGATAGTTAAAAAAGAGAAACAAACTGATTCCAATGTTACCTTTTGCATTTTAAAGAAACAAAATATTTGAAAAATGAAAGTAACCTTCCTGTCAGGGGTTCAGGGAGAGAGGCACAGATGAGGGAGGAGACTGAGAGCGAGGGGGAAGAATCCCGGAATGAGGAGGAGGAGGATGACAATGACTTGAGGGTTTCCATGAGTCTTTCAAGTGAATCGGAGGATTCCCAAAAGGGGGCGCCCCTGGTCAGGCCAAGGGGAGCCACAGGGGGGACTCGTCAGGAGCAGGGGAGCAGCAGGGAAATCCCGAATGGGAGTGGGAGATCGGGGCCGGCTTCCCCGCCGGAACGGAGTGAAGAGGGTGGAGTTCCCAGTGTGACAGACGAAGCAGAGCAGGAAGCAGAGAGGGGAAGGAGATCGGGGCAAGACGTCCTGCCGGAAGGGGCGGAGAGTAGTATAGAGAGTAGTGTAACTGTCAAGAGGAAGGTCAGAGGTAGCGAACGCGCGCCAAGTTCAAATGTGGAGGCGCGCGGAAATGCGGAGAGCCCGGAGGAGGAGCCTGGTCCCAAAGCATGGAGGAGGGGGGAGCAGGCGTCTGGGGACTCAGCATCAGGGGAAAGCAGGAGGGAAGGAACCCAGGGGGGCAGAAAGACCCTGCGGAAAAGGAAGGACAGGAAGAGGTGGACCAGCAGAAGCCTCTTAAACTGGTGTGGAGGCGGGACTGATTCAGAGGGGACTTCAGCAGTCTAAGCGTAACAGACGTGGGGCTGCGCGCCTCGGCTGTGGAACAAACAATGTACTTCAATAAAGACTTTTGTAAATAAAGTGGACTTGGCGTTGGTCTCTTGTGAGCTGGGACCTGAGGCGGGGGGATAAAGAAAAAAAATTATTATTTTTTTTCCGGCAGGACGTCTTGCCCCGATCTCCTTCCCCTCTCTGCTTCCTGCTCTGCTTCGTCTGTCACACTGGGAACTCCACCCTCTTCACTCCGTTCCGGCGGGGAAGCCGGCCTGACACTTCCTTTGTTGGACTTGCTTTAAAAAGACGGATACAAATAGAAATTGTCTCCTCTAGAGGGAGCTTGTTAAATTGTTGCTGCAGTCTGCTTGGGGACTCTACAGCTGTAAGATTAAGATCGTGGGACCAGTCTTTTGACCTTGGACAAAAGTGTGTTGGAAGGAAGCTTTGGTGCTCGCTCTTTGCAAGACAAGTGCTCTGTTGGAGCAGATGCATGAGAAGATGGATCTGATATAAAGGAAGGAAAATAAGGATAAGGACAGTAAGTGATAAAGACAAATTTTTGAGAGACCTTCAGAAAGAAGCAGAATCTGGAGAGGAGCCAACT